AGCGGAGAGAAGCAGATCGGCATTTCAGAGAAAAGCAACACTCCACGGCAGCTTTTTTTTTTTTCCTCTCTCTTCGCACGTTGTTGAAAGGAGAAGGGTTACGTGGCAGGAATGGGAAAGAACGGGGAAGCGTGGAACGGGCGCATGGGAGACCCCTCCCTCCCCTCAAGGCGCAGGGCCATGCTGCCACAAGGGCAAAGCTGCAGAAGATAGTGCCTCTTAAGTAGCGCCCAAGAAGCCTAATGCTTTGAAGTACGACGAAGTCGTGAAAGCCCTGGACGAGCAGTTTGATCCCAAGCGCCATGAGATAACAGAAAGTTTCCGCTTTTTCAACTGCTGCCAGGTGGATGGTGAGTCCGTTCGAGAATTCATTACTGAGATTCGTCGGATTGCGGACTACTGTGATTTTAGTACCATGCTCGACCGTATGCTACGGAATAGAATAGTGTGCGGCATCAGATCGAGTGCAGTGCAAAAACAGATGCTGACAAAAGAAAATCTGACTTTAGAGGTCGCTGAAACAATGGCACTCTCCGCAGAAGCTACAGATAGTGACGCCCATAAAATAGCTCGAGAATCATCACTGGCGCTAAAAATCAAAGCGCAGTGACCCACGAACAAAGAGGCATGCGCCGAATGCGAGCATTGCAGCCGTGCCAGGCACAACAGTAATGCCTGCCGTTGAAATGGCGCGTGTTGTTATCGCTGCGGTGGACGCAGTCACCTAGCTCATAAATGCCAGAATGAGGAAATCGCAAGGTCTCAAGCTCGACAAGCAGCCTCGGGATTATGGGGCAGAGTTATGACTGTTAATGAAGAGGAGACAGATAAAGGCGTAGACGAAAGTTCGTACATCTGGACGCTACGATCGCAACGACAGGAAGCCGCAATACGACAGAACTTCTAGTGGGGAGGTGTTGACGTATCAATGTTTATTGACACTGTTTCGCCAGTTTGCATCGTATCTCGTCAGCTTTTTGACCAACACAAAAACGCTTGGCTTGTGTTAAAGCCATCAGGAACAAAGCTGTCATGCTATTTGGGAAAATTGCCAGTTGTGGCAGAGCTATTGTTTCCGGTATCGTACGACGGTGCAACGATAGAATGTCCTTTGGTGGTCCTAGAATGCCCCGGTCCAAGTTTATGTGGCCGAGACCTAATTTACCTTCTGACTAATGCAGGCTCCCCGTTTCTCAGCTTTTCAGCTGAGCCACCATCGGCGCAGCCTACCACCACGCAGGTTTTTGCCGATGTGATATACGAGTTTCCAGACGTCTTCAGCTCAGGACTAGGCCTCATGAAAGAACCAGCGGCGCACCTGCAACTGAAAGAGGGAGCCATGCCCAAGTTCAGTAAGGCCCAACCTATTCTTTTCGCGCTACACGACAAGGTATCTGAAGAGCCTGATAGACTGGTGGCACTGGGCATTTTGTCACCGGTGCTGCATTCTGAATGGGCTATGCCCGGACGGCACCATAAGGATTTGTGGCGACATTAAGGTCACCTTAAATGCGGCCTGTGAGCTGGAACAGTATGCATTACCATAAATCAATGACACGTTCGTGTCCTTGAACGGTGGCAAGCATTTCAGTACGCAGGATTTACAGGATGCATAAAACCAAGTCCCACTTGATGAATCACGCCAGCTTTGCGTGATCAATACACCTAAAGGTCTTTTCTATTATAATAGATTACCTTTCGGCATTGCCTCTGTGCCAGCTATTTTCCAACGTAGGATGGAAACAGTTTTGCAAGGCTTATCAGGCGCCCAAGCTTATCCGGACATTGTCTTCGTGTCCGAAAAAGCAGGAAAGAACGGCTAAAAACCGTTCTGCAGCCTTTCCGCGAAATTGGTGTGAAACTTTGCCTTGACAGGTGCAAATTTCGGCTAGAGGCTGTTACCTATCTTAGCCATCAAATCGATCGGCATGAGCTGCATCCGATTTAAAAAAACGTCGAAGATATCGCAGAAGCTCCCAGCCCGAAAAAAGTAGCAGAGCTGAGTTCGTTTCTTGGCATGATTAGTTTCTACTCAAAATTTTTGCCGAACATATCGTCTGTGCACGTTCCATTGTATCGCCTGCTGGAATAAAACAGCCATTGGCACTGGGCAGATGAAGAACGAACTGCGTTCGACAAAGCAAAACGGTGTTTGCTGCAAGCAGGGGTGTTAGTGCACTTTGACCCATCACAGCCGCTGAAACTAGAGTGTGACGCATCACAAAGAGGCATCGGTGCTTTTTTACACGAAAGGGAACAAGAACGAGTGCATCAGGTTCCGTTCCAGGACAATGTCGAAAGCAGAGCAAAATTATTCACAGCCTGAACGAGAGACGTGTGCTCTGGTCTTTGGAGTAATGAAGTTTTGTGATTATCTTCTAGGCAAAGAGTTCACCCTTGTCACAGACCACCAGCTGCTCCTGGTCCTGCTGAGACCAGATCGGCCAACCTTACAGCTGGCTGCTGCTCATATACAGCGTTGGGTGCTGTATTCAGGAGGAGTTCGCTAGAAGCTGCAGTATTCCCCAGGCAAGCAGCTTTTGATAGCGGACGCTCTCAGTGGATTACCACGACAGACTTCAAAGCCATCCACGGACTGCGAGACACCTAACTATGTTTTAGCCCTTGCATGCTTTCAGGAGGGCGCGGTCCCCACAGAAGTACTGCAGGCACTAACCCCCAGTGACCCCGTGCTTGCCAAAGTTGTGCAGTACCCAAGGAGTGGATGGCCTACAAGCGCCAAAGCACTAGAACGAAGGTTGCATCCTTTTTTCGACCGCGACTAGAGCTTTCGCTAGCATATCATTTGCTCTATTGGCGCCGTAGGGTTGTCATACCTGACAACGTGCAACACAGAATGTTGCACATGTTGCACAAAACGCATTAAGGATCATCGGCGATGAAGGCAATCGCTCGGTCAGCTTTCTGGTGGCCTGGCATGGACCACGACATCGAACAAATGTCAGCTATCTGTACAAGCTGCATTCAGAATCGGCCAATGCCGGCATCTGCCCCACCAATCAGCTGGCCGACATGCCAGGAAAACTGGTCGAGAGTACATGTAGATTTCTCGAGGCCAATAAGTGGAAACATGATCCTTGTTCTTGTAGATTCGCAGAGCAAGTGGATCGAGGCTGTACCATTGAAGCAGGCGACCACATCTTCAACTATCACTTGCCTACGCAGCATGTTAATCAGGTTCCGCATTCCTCGCACCCTGGTTTCAGACAATGGAACGCAGTTCAATAGTCAATAGTTTGCCGATTTCATGAAGGAAAACAACATAACTCACTTGCTCCCGGTGCGTTTTACCCACGGTCAAATGGCCTCACCGAGGGAGCCGTTCGAACTGTAAAAGAGGGACTGACGAAGATTAACCATGCAGGCCGACAAGAAGATCGTCTTTGCCGACTACTCTTCAATTACGGAGAACATCCTTGGCATCAGGAAAGTCACCCTCGGAACTTCTCCTGGGTTATTAAATTAGGTCTCATCTGGACGTGTGTTTCTGCCCTTGGTTGCAGGAAGATCGCATGGATTGGATGAATGGACCATGGCATTAGACACGAATGTTTACATCTGCAACATTGGCAAGGGTGAAAAGTGGAAGACTGGTACGGTGAAGTCAGGCGAGAGAGCGAGGATGGTGACTGTAGAGATGCCAGAGGGCCTTTTTCGAAGACACATAGATCACGTTCACACAAAAACTGACTCCACTGAACCCTACGGTGACAAGGAAGGTGAAAGAATGCCTATCATGAAAACTACGCAAGAAACTCCTGGATTCGGGTCGAACGTAAAGATGGAACTCCGTGATTCACCACACCAGTTGCCGTCATCATCCCAAGACCAGGCAAAGACTGTTTGAGTCTACAGTGACCACGGAGCTCCAACGCTCAGTACGACAGCGAAAACCTGTGCAGCGTCTCCATTATTAATGGTGGAGAAATGTTGTAATTGAAGTGTCACGCTTATCACCTTTTGGTTCAACTGAAGCCAACGCTCCTATCTTATGTTTCCCTTACCTTGTTTCCAATTCTCTTTTTCTTAAACTTGTCTTTATATTGGAACTTAAACGGAAAAAAAAAAGCCTATTCTTACCAGCTTGTCAGCCTGTGTCTACCTCACTTGCGCCAAAGTGCAGTGCTCGACCAGCAAATAACACCTTCATTTTGTATCTTTTATTTAGTTTAATTATAATAGCTACCACCCTTTTATTACTGCTATAGTGTTTCTCTATGTTACCGGCTATATTTTTGTGGATAAAAAACCGCACACCGCAGGGAGCTCTCTTCTGTGGGTTAAGCCACGGTAGCAAAGGACGTGCCCATTCTGTAGCACTGTATAGGCCTCATCTGCCCTCCTAACCTCACTGAGCCCTATTACATCCCATTTAACACCCTCTATCTTCCCGAATAGTACAGCTAGACTTGCCTCACTAGATAAGGTTCTAGCATGTAGAACTTCCACCATAGCCTTGCTGAAATAGTTAAGCATCCGCCTAACTGTGGGAAACGAGGAATTGCTGCCGCCAGGCACCTACTGGTTAAATACGTACAAGCGCACTTCTGGCCTGGTGCTCAGAAAAACGAAGTTCATAGTTGTTTAGAAGGGCACCCACCCTGTGGGGAAATTGGCAGCATGGCATCACCAGACTTGAAATTAAGATCCTCCTCTATTTTTTTTCTACCACTGACACTCGTAGCAAGTGTGGTGCCTTTCTTGTCCCTGCTGTCTAGTAAAAATGTGCACAACAGTATAATCATATGGTTATCAATTGTATTGTTCTGGATAACTTGGAGTCACCTTATCTATATTCATGCTGTGGACTTCGCCATAAGCTCAGGAAGCATACAAACAGCGCCAGTCAAGGATGCCACATTTAGGGTAATGACATCCCCGCGTGAGATGCACGGCTTTTACGGATTAACTTCTTGCATAGCTCTTACAGCCCTACACCTGACGTGTAAAGCGGAGTATGCATTGTTTAGCTTACTAACCATGCTTGCAGCTGAAGGAGCGATGCCAGCAGCAACACTAAAAATAGATGGCTGTCCTGCTGATCCCATGAGCGTTGTTCCCATCGATGTCTTGAGAAAATGAACTCCATTGGCTGCAGGAAACAAGAAAGAAAAAAGAAGGAAGATAAAGCAAATGGCTACTGTTGAGCGATATAATCATACTACATGTCTGTATGATGTTCTGCTACAGCGTTTAAAATACGGCTGAACATGATTATACGAATCTTGAATCAAGGAGCAATTCTCGTCTTCTATACAAGTGTCTCTTGTAAGCAGAGTACCACATTTCTATTTTCTAATGAACCTCTGTTGCAATGTACGCATATAGGTGTCTTTTACACACACCTGTCTGTTGCATCAGTGTCTGCCACACAACAGCGCACCTATAAAAAAACATAAAAAAGCTATCAGACAACTCAGCAACAACACCTACAGTCAAAAATTGGTCTTAGACCTAACTCAAGAATATAGCACTCAAGCCCACGTATAATGGCCCCACTTAAAATAAACTGTTGATTAAAACAAATGATATTAGCGCCTGCCCTGCCCTGCCCTTGCCCTTGCCCTTGCCCTTGCCCTTGCCCTGCCCTGCCCTGCCCTGCCCTGCCTGCCTGCCTGCCTAGCCGCCTACGACTTTTAGCTCTCTTGGCCGTTTCGATAATGATATCGATACCAAACTTGGTATGGCATAATATGACTGTATGAAAAACATATTTGACCAGTCATAACATGAAAATCATGACATGTGTGTCATGAATGTCATGATTTATATTTCATGGTCCTGCAGCTTTTACGGTGGTTTCGTTCACATAACATGTTGCAAAACTGGTATGGTACGACATTATTGCATGGCGACCACAAGCGACAGACACTAACATGAAAATTATGACATGCGTGTCATGTAACAACATGACTACATGCCACGCTGATGATGTGCTCGCGGCCATTTCGCTAGCGTCGCATATACCAAATTTGGTATTACAGTTCGTGAATGAATGACGAAGGTATGTGACCGGTGCAAACATGATAATCATGAGATGCATGTCATGTAACAACATGACTACATGCTAGCTCATAATGCGCTCGCGGCCGTTTTGCTAGCTTCAAATGTACGAAACTCGGTATTGCGCGACGCGAACAGACGACATAGGTAAATGACGAATCCAAACATGATAATCACGACATGTGTGTCATGTAACAACAAAACTACAAGCCTCACTTGTGATACGCTCACGGCCATTTCGCTAGCTTCACATATGCCAAATTTGGTATTATGTGACGTAAATGTATCATGAAGGTATGTGTGTAAACATGATAATCATGAGATGCGTGTCACATAAGAACATGACTACATGCCACAGTCAAGGCGCCTATACATTTTGACGTGACGCGGTGCGTGTGCTCGCCAGCGTTCATTTCATTGCGTCGTGCCGTCGTTTCCAAGCCAGGCGCCGCTCCTGACATATACTCACAGGTGCGCGCAGCACTGCATCGCTTTGACGCATGCGCGTTTCAGCGCATCCAGCGTCCCTCTGTCACGAAAAGAGGGAGACGCAGTGTTGTCTGGGTAACGCATCGGCGCGAAATCTAGCATGTCGCATTTCGCACCGGTTGGCATCGGGCAACGCCGACGGACGCTGGTCGTGCCGTTCGCGCCTGGCGTCAGACTATAGAGTGCTCGCGTTTTGCTAACCTAGCGTCGCTGTGCCCAGCGTGCGTGTGCGACAATGCTACATTGGAGCATATTGGGTGGGCCCTTCATAATGCGCTCGCAGCCGTTTTGCTAGCTCGACATATACTAAATTTGGTATTACGTCACATCAATGGATGACGAAATGTATGACTGCTGCAAACATGATATCCCTGAAACGCATGTGATGTAAGAACATGACAACACACCACGCTCATAGCGCGCTCGCGGCCATTTCGCTAGCTCCACATGTACTAAATTTGGTATCACGTGACGTCACTAGATGACGAAGGTAAGCGACACACCCAAACATGATAATTATGACACGGAAGTGATGAACAGCGTCATTTACCTCCACCTCATAACATTGTGCTGATTTTAAAGTGACATATCAACCTTTCTCGTTCGTGCTTCACATATCCTCGATTCCCACGGTACATGGTATCTGCCAATTTTTTTAGTGGCACTAAATCTCACTTACAACGAACGTCTCTGAGCGCTGCCAATCGGTTAAAGCAAGCAGAGTCGGTGCTCCGACGACTTCCCAGGAAACCACATTTTACCTTACCACCGCTGATAAGCCATCAGTGAGGTGCCCACAGATACTTATTGTTAAATGCCAAACCTGCCTCTGCAGCTCTCTAGTGGCCACTCTCCCCAACCCGACCATTTTTTTGTTATGCACCTTTTCATCCTTTGTTCCCCGCTAATCTGAGCACACCTCAATCGCAGACAAAGCTCGTGTTTTCATACTGCCAGTGATCTTTCAAAGACAGGACGGTTGACCAGTTTCTCCTCAGTTTTTGATCACTGGTTTCGTTACACTATCATTGGCGTCGCTGGCCCAGAGTGACCAGACCATGCCAACATTGTCGACCACCAAGTGCACCCGATCGTCAGCGTCTTGTCTTAATTGGTGCCATATCGTTCTGGTGCATGCATTTAAACGGTTGTGAGAAAAGATAGCTGCGAAACGCTTTTATGGCATGCGCGTGCAGCGCAGGGACAGGTTGGTGAAGATAGTGCCATCAACCACCGAAGATGAGTAAAGTGCAAAAAAAAAAAAACTGTTCCCAAACACTGTACGCATATGTCGATTGTGAAAGGCCAAGCAACTTAATTTCTTTTTTTTTGCATTATTGCATTTTTGCACATCTCGAGAAAGTTTTCATAAAGTTTAACCAGCATAGTAAACACACACCCTACTTTGCCCTGATCTTTTTAGAAAAAAAGTGCGTTCATTATGTGAGCAAATAGGGTAGGTGCGGTGCTAAAAAAAGTGGGCTCTTTGTTGTTTAGTAGAACTGCATTGGAACACATAATTAATTTTTCAATCGTACGACTCCTTGCACCACAACACATGTTGCCCCATAGCATGTTATGGGCATCGAAGTCGCCAGTTAAAATGTAGGACTCAGGCAGTAGGTCCACAAGTTCCCCTAATTCCCTTAACTGCAAACGATATTCAGGTGGAATGTACAAAAGACAGTGATAAGCTGGTCAAACAGGATGGCCTTAACGGCTACTCCTTCTGATTGATTGATATGTGGGGTTTAACATTCCCAAAACCACCATATGATTATGAGAGACGCCGTAGTGGAGGGCTCCGGAAATTTCGACCACCTGGGGTTCTTTAACGTGCATCCAAATCTGAGCACACGGGCCTACAACATTTCTGCCTCCATCGGAAATGCAGCCGCCGCAGCCAGGATTCGAACCCGCGACCTGCAGGTCAGCAGCCGAGTACCTTAGCCACTAGACCACCGCGGCGGGGCAGGGCTACTGCTTCTAGCAAGGCACGAAGGTGCAAGTGTTGACAAGCAACAAACTGCTCTACTATTATGGCCACACCTCCTGATGCTTTGAGGTCATTGTGGCGGTCATTGCGAAATATGATGTACCACACTAAAAAATTTTTGTGTGATGGCTTGAGATGAGCTTCTGAACAAAGAACAGCCTCAGATTGATATGCTGCAATATTTTCCAAATATCATCTAGGTTTCTCAGAATGCCTCGGGCATTCGGTTGGACAATTTGTGTTGCCATATCAGAGGGAAAAGTGTTCTGTGTTCAGGTATAATGTTGCGGCTTTTTTGTGGTGCCAGGACAGTCTCCTGGTCCTGTTATCAACTTTATATCTTTCTTGACGCGCTCGGCTGAGCCACGTCGTCCTTTCGGCACCAATGGCGAATGGTTTCCTTCAGAAGAAATAATGTTTACCATCAATCCCAGTTTTAGGCACACCGAAATCCCAACGCGTCTTGGTGGCTTTCAGCTGCCGTCACCAGTAGCGAACACAAAACTCGTAGACTTTGAAGGGCCAACCGGAGGCCCTGTTGCCGTTGTTTAGTGCACAATCTATCACATTCAGCTTGAAATTAGCCATGTAGCTTCGGTATCGCCTTATAACGTGACAAGATTACCGACACAACATACAAAACACGCCGCAACGCGCACTTGCCACTTTGGCTTGGCTTAGATTGAATTGAATCTCCGTGCAATATTAGAACGCTTGATGCATAAGAGATGGTGCCAGATGGTGTGTGCTATCATCATCAGTGGTTTGAACGAGCAGACGACATTATTGCGGCAGTTTTTGGGGGTGCGATAATTACTCGAGGAAAAAAAGAAATCATATTTCTGTTGGGCGATGTGGGGGGTGCGAGAATTATGCGAGTGTGAGAATTACGCGAGTAAATACGGGGTAGGTCTTTGGTTGGCGTTTCCTTATTGTCTCTCCTGATTTTGTAGTTGTTGTCTCCAGTTGTAGTTCAGTTTCAGACAGCTAAAACACATATGCATCTGATACAATTCCGCGAGCGGAGTTCACTGATCTGTGCGGTGTTACACTGATCGGTATGTCACCATAAGTTATGCCTTAGTCTAGCTTTTCAACCTGTTCTTTCTCCCGGACTTCAAGAATGAGATCTCCACTGGCCATTTCGGTAACTTTGTACTCGGCCCCAAGAATTTCTGTAAGACACCTGGTTACTACAGAGGGCAATACAGTTCCAGCTTGCTTATCAGTTTTCTTAGTGTGTATGACAAGGAAGTGGGGGAAGTCTTCATGTGGCCAGATGAAAGAATTGAAGTCTTCGGTGCCTACCCGCTTTAAGGCGATGGTACAACCACTTAGCAGGGGATATGCTCTATGCATGCCAGTTGAATTTTGTTCCGAAGCGTTGGCGGCCACCCACCATGGAGCCCAAGAAGAGGACGCTAGAAGTTTGTGGATGCTGAAAGCTTGCAGGCGTCAGCCGTACAATGCTACCATAACCCAATGCCCCTAGACTAAGGTAGGCTATTTGCACAGGGTTAACCCCCGCCGCTAGAAAATTTAGAAGGAAGAGGAAAAGAGGACAGGACAGATTTCCATAAACGTATGAGAGAAACACAAAGATACGAGAGGAGGACAGGAAAAGACAACAGCCGATTTCCCCCGGGCAGGTCAACCCAGGGGTGCCGTCTTTGTGAAGCTGGGGCCAAAGGAGTGTGTTGCCTCTATTGGGGGGCCTTAAAGGTCCGATCACCCGGCTTCAACTCAAACCCCAGGATACCCTTTTCTCTAGACATGGCTCAGCCATGCACGCCCCCCCGTTAGCTCGGACTTGTGTCGCTATGCGCCATACACATACTTGTGCAGACGCCCCTGTGGGGGCAAATGTTGTGCACATAATGGAATGGTCATATTGTCACGGCAAGGAAATTAATGAGAGCAGGGGCACAGCATTTTGATGTAGCAGGTCATCACTCTGACCATCTCGAACTTTGCATACTTGAGTCAAACTTCAAATCCCCAAGAAACCGAAAATATCCAGTCATGTCTTATTCACAAGTTCAATACCCTCTAGCAACAGGTATAAACATTCTTGAATCCATTCGACAAGGTACATACACAATGAAAACCAATGAGGGTTAAGCCTTGCTTCTAGGAACTTAACCTAACATTGTGAAGTGGTGCTTCCTCTGACAACCATTATTCAGCAAACCATCTAAATGCCCACCCCCCAAACTTCCTGCTTTTTTTATTTTCTATCTTTTTATTCACAGGAAGCTCTTCCCTTTTACTCATATTGCATCATAGTAGCCTTTTCCCCTCCCACATCCCCGCATGCACAGTTTGCTCAGATGGAGAAGCGGGCGCAAAGCATACACGCTAGCGCTAAGGAAATCAGCTAAAGCCTTGAAGAAGACAAGTCCACTTGACAAAATAACTCCTGTTTAGGAATTTCTTCTTTGCAAGCTTCCATCTTTCCCTTACTGCCTCTTCTACTGACATCATTTTTGTCAAGGAGAAATGTAAGCCAATTTGTACTGGTTCTCAGCAAGGAACATGTTGACGTTAAAAAATAAAAATTAAAAATATGTACCCTCCCATCTGGTGTCCTGGCTAAAAAAAAAAAAAAATCAGCCACTTTAACCTTTCTGAAATCACAGCCACCTCTTTAGTGACATGAATAACCAGCACCTGCTTTCATATACAATAGAACGTCCTTATTTCAAGTCAGTTATTTTGAAATCCTTCTTGATTCAAAATAGTTATGCAGTCCTGTATACTGCAAGTGTATGAGTGGAAATTTGAAGCCGTGGTCAGCCCCAGTCCGGTTAACTCGAAAACTTTGGGAGCCATGTGCTGATTCCTGATCCCGGCATCACCGCAAATCCGTGGAAATGACAGCCAGTAACAGTCACAAAGCAATGCGATGTAGCGAAACTAATGAGTGGTCACTGAAGCACCCTAGTCTCACGACTTCCAGCGCAAGAAAAGAAAAAAAATTGTCTTGTGGTAAGCCAAAATGAGCGCCTGTGAAAATCCAGAAATGTTTCACTGCAACACAGCAGTGATGCATGAGCAGCATATCACATTCTTTATACAATTTCAGGACGTCATGATTAACCTATTCCTTCTGGTAATATAAAGAAATTATTAATGAATAGTTTGTTGGAATTTGTGATGTATAGGAACCTCCGATTGCTGGTTCCTCCAGCAATTTGAGCACTTGCACTGGTGGCAGAATTCTTGTCTGCAACGCTTACTATGAAAACTTACTTCAAAAGCTTCCATGATCATGTTTGCCAGCGAAGACACATAGCGAACTTTATCACATTTACTATAATAAAATTATTTATATTACCCGAATGGATCGGTGAATGGTCACATGATGACGTGCTGACACAGCCAGAAGCAGGTGACATGCTGCCCCTCGTGTGTCACTACTGAGCTGCAGCGAAGATGCTTTGTTTTTGCAAATGCGCAAATCACAATGTTTTTTGTTTTTGTTTTTTTCTGGCAGTGGCAGCAGCGAGGCCCATCATTACCATGTTTGTGACAAAACTAGCACCAGGTATTGCTCGAAAACATGACCCTTGGAGCCCCAAACTAGCCAGCACACCAAACGATCAGCCCTGATTACTTTGAATAATTCCAAGTTTCTTGCATCCCATCTTTTGTTTGTTCGGTTGATTCGAAAACCCACTTATCTTGATGATTTCTCACAGTTCTAGCGACTTTGATTTAACGAGGTTTTACTGTTATTTGCATTCCTTGGCACTATCTGTATCTGTATTTGGCTTGTGCTCTGTCTTTTGTGTGGGCATTGCTGCAACACTGTACATCACTGCTCAAGTATGATATGCCGCATTTACTCGCGTAATGAACGCACTTTTTTTCTAAAAAAAATCGGAGCAAAGTTGGGGTGCGTTTCTTATGCGGGGCAAGTTTTATGAAAACTTTTTCAGGATGAGCGAAAAATGCAGTAATGCAAAAGATAAGTTGGGTCGCTTAGTCTTTCGCAATTGACACACGCGTACAATGTTTGAAAACGGATTCATTGTTGTACTTTACTCATCTTCGGTGGTTGATGGCGCAATCTTATTTAAGCTGTCCCCGCATTGCCCCCGCATCGCCCCCGCATGCCATAAAAGTGTTTTGCGGCTATCTGTACTCCCAATCACTTAACCGCAACAGCGGTATCTGCTGTGACCTCGAGGGGCGCCCCGAAGCGTGCACTACGATGCACTTTGCCAACTTTGCGGCAACTGTGCACGACGATCGCGACGCTGCCGTTCACATTGTAGCAAGCAACCAACATTGCAGCAAGCGACCCACGAAGCATCAAAACAAATTGTCAATAACAAGATTAACGACAAAGTACGGCCACCGCCTCGCTTTCACAAGCAAAGTTCTTGTACACGCGGAAAACAAGCGAAGCAAGAATCGGGAGTACTACTATGTTGCGAAAATGGTCACAATCTTTTCTGGGCCACAAGTAATTTTTTATGGTAGTCCAGAAACCTGCGACACGATAGTGACAAATGACCCTTCATGACAGCAAGTCCTGTAGTCATCGCTTCGAAAATCGCACGCACGTCGTTGGGCCTTAAAGTTTCGTACTTGCAGGAAGTGACCGTTGGTTGGCGCGGGCAGTTTCGTGACCTTTGCTCACTATGAGCTTATCAGCTGCAACGTCTCTACACTCGCACCAATCGTGAACACCTCTGTGGTGAATAGATAAAAAAGACTGGGGACGTGTAGCACCAAACAAAAAGCAAAACAATACGGCACGTAGCAATGGGTGAAGTGGGGGAGGGAGCAAGCCGAGGTGGCTGAGGGGGGTCGGCATAATAATAAAAATGGAATAAATCCAATGGGTAAGAAGGCGCCAGGTGTCAGTCAGCAGGACTACAGCAGATGAATGTAGGGGGTGCGTTTATTACGCGTAGGAAACAAAAAATCTAAATTTTGGCGACTAACATTGGGGGTGCGTTTATTATGCAAGTAAATATGGTATATCTGCCTTCTCTTTTCTTGTATTTCATGTGCAAGGAAGATGATCATGCAAGTTTAGATAAACGAGTTCTACTACTATGAGTGTACTGTGATTGTTACATTGTTTCTCACGTTTCTTTTCATCACAGCAACAAGAAAACAGCAAAAAGAGAAGCGTGCTTCTGTCACAGATTTCAGGGAGAAAGTGCTTTTGGCAATTAATTGAAAAGACGCTGGGCACCATAGGAAACATGGCTTAATAACAATCAAAAATAAAAAAAACTCAAGAAGAAACTTAACACTCCATAAAACAAACAGGGCAAAAACCTAGAACACTACTAACAACTTTCCAAAAGGAAACTGGCAATAAAGATATCAGTTCGTACATGTAGCCACGGTTAGTAGCATCAGCCTGACCACTTAGGCTTCGCAGCGGAATTGTAGTCTGAATGAGACAGTGTTACTTGGTTCTGTCCATTGCCGTAAGTCCAACCTTCTGTTTGTTGGTCGATGTAGCCAACAGTTCTTTTTAATATCCACTTTTGTGTGTAATGGCCAACCACGCTGCTGTAAGCCTTCTCCTGGTTGCCATCGTCGATGCGGCAGTGCGTCCTCATCGATTAGGCCTAGTACAATCCCGGCCTCCACTTGAAGTGATGACGTGGCGTTCTGGGGATGACTTCTGGCCGACGTTCCAAAGGGGGCTGCTGGTGGTGCATCCAGGACAGCCGAAAGATGCTGCAGCACTTTCAAGACTAGCCCGAGTGTCATCAAGGTCAAAAGCCACACCACGAAGTGGCAGCATCACGGCCTCCTGAACCGAAAACCCACTGCTTCCCACTGAAGGAATGTAGCTGCCAATGCAACCTTCTTCTCCCGTAGCCCCGCAAGCAATGACGGCTCATCAAGCTTCCACCTTCGTTTACAGCTCGTGACACATGCGTCGAGCCATTGACTCCACCATCGTACCTTTTCCACATGTTTCTCTTTCTACTTCGTTGTCTTCAGGCAAACTCATGACAGGCTCAAAACCACACATAAATAAATAAACTTCCTGAAAGCCTGCATGGTGCCATCTGTAGCACAAAGCGATAAATGAAACCCACACAGGTCTGTCATTAGCAGTTTCGAAGTTTATTGCTTTGCAGTTTGAGAAAATATGCCTTGGTATGGGCTTTGAGACTGGGACAAACAAGAACTTTTTGAGGTAGACACTTTACCATGTGAGCTAGCCAGGAAGATTGCAGCTCAAGTAAGGACTCGCGCAGCAATGACTGGCTGTATTCAGTGTCCCTCCGTGTTGAGTGTGCCTCTGTTGAATAAGCTCCAAGAGATTGTTCGGCATCGGCAGACACATTATTCACTACAGTGGTTTTTCTAAATGCTGGTTGAATGGTTCCTCGCCAAACCTTAAACTAGAACACAATCTGACAACCTGTAGCTTAATCACAATGAGCAGTATGAGGGCAGCATCAAAACACACCTACCCTGCTGAGACTGGAGAGGATCGTTGTGCCTCTTGGTCACCTCTTGGTGGCTCGCTAATGCCACCAGCTGGCGAGGCACTGGCTGCATGCCCACTGCACATTCATAGACATTGACAATTATCAGAGGCACATACATGTATGGCAGTTGCAACTGACAACACGTAGGCCAAACACTTCAGCTGATGTGCCTTCATGACAATTGAGTAGTGTTCCAGCACGAAATTATACAGAATTAGATATATTCACTAATGCTACTAAATGAAGTCACAATGGCACATCACAAGCTGTATCTATGAGGCAGACGAGAAGCAAATTGAGTGGCTCTCTGTGCCCCGGTCAAGGCTAACGAGAAAACTGGAATGCATAGGTGACCTAGCTTGTAATAAATTTACAGCACAGAAATGATTGCAGCTCATACAACACAGGCATTCCTGCTGTGTGACACTCTTTCTGCCTTCCGTATGCTTTCACTTCATTGTGGAAATTTTGTTCCCCCAGATGATACATGCGAAGTTTTGCGAGTCGCTGCTAACAAACGATTGTGTGAAGTGAATGGTATGATAACATTGCCAAGTAGCCTTTAGTATAGCCAGAAAAGTGTTGCAATATCCCACTGGTTTACAAAAAGCTTTGTCACTCTCGGCTCCCACCAGAAATGATCTGCCCCTGTTGATTTTTGTACCAGCGGCTATGTCGAACACACATATATATTCTTTTATTAACAACAGGCAACTTGTACAGACTTACAACTCACTACAGTTCCAAGACACCCTAAGTTCAATTTCAAGGCATTTATCAATGGCTCAGTGCAATGTGTGCAATTACTTATTTACAAATTGAAGTTGGTAACAAAGAGTGGAGCCATGCACAGGTTTTTTTCTTCTTTAGATGCACAAAATGTTCTAATAGAGCATTTATTATTAAAATGAATTATCATTGCTCCCTTACTCACTCTGTCTTTCTATTGAATGTGTGACACTAAATGTGGTGCATTTAGTCAAAAGTACATCAAATATCATTACTAGTTGACACTTATACACTGACCTAACAAGAAAAAATAACTGATTTTTCAACCCTCATATATTTTTCTTTCCTTTTCTTTTCGTAAAAATGATGGGCCTTACAACACGAGACACCTTTGTTTGCTATCATCAGCCCATGGTATCCATGATGTCTGCCAGTTTATTCATTTCCTTTATAAGCAATTCTCTCCTTACTTGTTTTAGGTGTGTATTTGCCACAATTAGCCATACACAAAGCTATATCATATAGTAGAGGTTTTTCTGTTTACAAAAGATCAATGTTGTTGAGATCATTTCGTAATGACTATAGGTATTGGCAAGATATTAAAAAAACCATTAACTACATGAAAAACAGCCCTTGCTCAAGATTGTGTGCACATGCATGTGCTGACAAACATGCATTGCAACACATGCTTCGGAGCCCATTTTGAAGATACGAGTAGGCTGTGTAACCGCTCCTATATTCAAAAAAAAAAAAAAAACCATACCCAGACATGACTATACAGAGCAGATTGTAAAATAGCAACAGTACTGCCCAACTTGGCACTGATTCATGATTGGCACTACGGGCGTGAAATGGTTGAGCACAGTGACATAATTGACTGAAACCACTTCAGTGCAGCCTACAGAGCACTAGAAAATGTCACAGAAGCCTAAAGCAGTTGCACATTTTCGAATGCAAATTAGTGAAAATGTCCACAAGGCCCACTTTCTGTGCTGTACACAACTAATGAAACCGACAGACAGCACAGTACAGGGATATGTGCTTTTTTACCTGCAGTGCAAAGACTCCTGCTTAAAATGATAAGAATTAAAGTGGACAAAAAGATCATCCTTTCCGTCGGTCGTATCCAAACCCATGAGACTCGAACTCTGATGCTCCAACCGAGGGTACTCCGGTGTCCACTTCTTTCTGTAGAATATTTGGCAATGTCAGCCAGCGCCACTCCTGGCCCAGGCGGAACACTCTTTTTGTGCTAAGGGGCATGTGATAGTTAGAAAGGTGATCAATAAACCTTGTATACTGCCTTAGGCATTCACTCTGACGGGACAGAGCTCTTTCTATGCAAATACGAAAGTAAAGGAATTGTCAGAGGGGTACACTGTATTGGCTCTGAAACCAACAGGTTGTGGGTTTTGACCTGACCAACATGCTGACAAACAATGTTGTGCATTCGCAAGAGTGTCATACACACACCATGAACTGTTGAGTCATGAAATTGCATAAAGTTTCACAAGAGAGGCTTGTTGGGCAAGCTGCTTCTGCACAATTGTAGAAAAATGGGAACGGAAGCAAGAAAACGAGCACGCATATGAAATGCAGAATATTTCATTTTGCACCACTCCTTTCAAGCAAAGCACGGTCCAGGGATGTGGGATAACCAGGTCTCATGACCATAGTCAAGAGTACTATTTTTCTTTGCTCTACATGAATAAAAAAAAACAGATTTTTCATGCATTTTTGGCATACGATTTGATTATTTTTATGTAAAAACTAAACATCACTGACACGCACATTTTATGCCCTATTATAAGTTAATTTCACAAGTGTTTCACAAATGTTGTAAGTGCTTAACAAAACCAACAACAGTGCTCAAGATAAGTACATGGAAGCTTTGCAACTCAGGCCATTTTTTTCATTCACTGATGGCAATTGTCAGTATCCCTAGAGAGAATAGAGCCTTCAAGGCATGCACGTAGAGTCCAATGTAGTGTATTAAGGATAATATTGTCAGTCTTTGGTTGATGCCCTGCAGATTTTGACCTGACATGTCCACCAGCTACCCCTTTCATATGTAGCTATTATAAACCGAGAGCTGGGCATTCCACATAATACACCTCCAATTATACGAAGTTTTCAGCCAATGGCTTTCAAATTGCAATTACAAAAGAGGTTTTTCTTGCCATCCATCATAACGTCACAACAAACCTCTTGAGTATTTTCTTATTGGTAGGGACATCAAAACGCTTGACTGTCATTCAGGAAATTGTTTGCAGGTTATAATTAATCTATACTTGCATTGGATATGTGCATAAAAAATTTCTTTTAGCTTACAAAACCGAACCAGGAACACAATGTAGAACAACCATGAAACCGAACAAAACTTGTAAATTTCGGTGCCACGGGGGCAGCATAAAGCAAATGGAGCCCAAAGCAGATCCTTCAGCTAGTTCCTCTGGGGGAAGCTTGCCTGCCTATATTTGTCTTGCACCTTCATATCAATTCCAATTGTCAACATATACGATGTTGCTGCTACGTGAACACTCTATGGCACCAAAGTTTGTAGTGCATTGCAGTGGCTGCAATGAATGCAGCTAGTTTAATTAAAATAACATCTTTAAGAGATACTGTTTATTAAATACAAATATAACGAACATTGACTGGCACATTTTATATTGCAGCATTATCAAAATTTATTTCACAAGTGAAGTCTATTTTTCCCAGCCGTGACAGGACACACTGAACGAGTGGCAAGAAGGCACCCCTGATGCGCATCCATTTCCCGCGTGGGAGACACGGGTACCAACACTGCGTCAGAGGGTAGTAACCTTGTGATATGAGCATCAGGCGCGTTCTGGTTCGTAAATATGCTTGCTCTCAACCATCGCACTCTGTACAGTCACACAAGGTTATTTCTTCTCGAGTACACCTGTACCAGAGAGCAGTTTTGAGACCTGCAGAAAAGTGCTCTGCGACAGCTGCCTGCTAGATCATTGGTAAACAGCTACGCAATCACAAGAGCAAGGCAGCCTTAAAACACATGAAAGCACCCTCAAAATGCCAAGTGCAGTGAAGGTGTCAAATGTTTTCGTGCGTGTGATTTCAGCGATTGATTTGCTCCGAGCATTTGCGCTGCCAAAATCGGGGTCGGCGGTATGGGCGCGTGTGTGTGCAGGTGTGTTCAAGTGACCAGCAGGTACGGGCAAAGTTGCTTGCCAACAAACCACGCGCAACTTTCGTCTTCACACGGGGCCGCGCGGACAAAGGCACCGCGCCAGTGGCAACACGGTCGCACGTGTGCGCAGAGAAACAAACACAGGATAAATTATGCAAATAGTGGACGCTGGGCCTGTCGCCAGACTATGTGTGTGGTCGAGCTAATTGCATGCCATCACTGCTATTGACAAAACTTTCTTCTCAGACAGCAGGAAGCGCTGCAGCCCGCGCACGCATCTGCGATCGGGCGCCCGGCGATAAATTATGATAACTGTCAGCGAGCGAGTGGGCACGCGCGGGCACACGCCACTGCAAGAAGTGCAGCCGCCCGCGGACGGCATCGACTCACCGCGGATGCTAATAGCCGCCGATGAGCAGCCAGCGCAAATTGCGGGCCCACGGGGGCCCGCAACGGCGCTCCGTTGTCCGGTGGCCGCCCCGGTGAAGCACTGCGGCGGCGCGCGGGCCTGCCAACCCCCGGCGGAACTTATAAATTATGATAATAGACAAGGCCCGCGCGGTCACTTCACCATCCGGCGTCGTCGCAGCCTCGCAGTCACCACCGATGCCGAAGAGTCCCAAGAAACCTCCACGGCGTGATCACGACGCTACTCGAACATGGGGTCCGAAAACGTCCAGCGGCTCGCTGCTCCAGGGCGGCCGCGCGCGCGACATAGTTGTCCGAGGAGGAGGTCGGTCAGGATCCGCGCGGCCGAGCCCAAATGCGCGATCCCAAGCGGAATCGCCACGTTTCACCCGAGTCCAGGTAGACGCGTGCAGCAAAGAAACTGCGAACGTTTATTTTTCGACAGCGCGCATCGTAACAACGCGCGCGTAATTGCGGACGAGTAATTAATAATATATTCTAATTAGTATACGGCCCCTTTACGTCGATCATGCGCACATGCGCGACGGCAAAGAGTTCCTCGAAGAGAAGCCGTTGCTAGTGGCAAGTGGACGGCGAAACCTTGCATTCCAGCGTACTACAATGCCACCTCAAAAGTGCAAACCACTTGAAGAGCGCAAGTTCCTGCCGCAATGATAATCGCGAACATTTGGGTGCCGTAATGCGCTCTCTCTTATCGGGACAATGCTGTCCTGTCAATTATCATACGCTGCTCATTCCGCGCTAATGTAAACAAAACAACGCCGTAGGACCATAGCACCTGATGCTTCGAAACCATTGCAATCAACCGTGTATATTTCATAAAAAACTTACAGTTTCCACGCGAGTGCTTAGGAGAAACCTGAACTTCTATAAAATAAAGATCGTAAAAATTGTCGTTTTATTGTGCGATTGTAGTTTACATGGGTTGTACGTACGTCACATCCGGGAACGAGAAGACCGAGCGGCTAAAAACTCCCACGGAGGAAGGAAAGAGAAACTCCTAATATACCACGGAGGAAGGAAAGAGGTAAGGAGAAGGCATGCCCAGCCGGCGCAGGGCGTAAAAAATGTGGCAGAAATGACATCATGGCGGCCATATTCACTAGGCACAATGGCGGCGTTGTTATGGTTACGTGTTGCGCAGTGGAGCTGGTCTAGCAGTGAGCGGCCGCGGTTGGCGGCGGAATGTGTGCCTCCCCAGGTCTCGTGCTGAGCCGTGGCGGACTATATCTGTGCTCTGCGCAGCGTTATTGGTTACGCAGTGTTCTCCTGGCTGTTACATTACTCTTAGCAACGTTTACAAATCCCTTTGTCCATCACGGAGTTTCAACAGTGCGTAGAACAAGTGCATATCCATGTGTCGTGCGGCGGATGACGTGGATGAAGCAGTTAGTGTTCAGCGAAATTGCGTTGGGCACCATGACGAAGCTGAATGACGACGAACGCCTTGCGCGTCATTGACAGTTGAGCAGGGCTCCTGCTTGTGACAACGGACGACTCTGTTGAGCCCAGCAAGACGCCGTGAGGACCATGTGTACATACGTAGTTTCGTGTTGTGTATGTACAGTAACAACTTGCATGTGCGTAATAAAACAGCTTTTCTGTTCCGCTTGGTACACTCTCCACCAGCATTGCATGTAATCTCAACGTAACAATCACCACGTTCAACTGTCACTAGCACCGTGCTCAAACTCACCACGGTCGCAGAATGCTGACGCCGGTGAGTTTCACGCGGGACACAGTGGCAGGACGCTGCGTCGGCCGCGTGGCGGAATGCAACCGTAGAAGGCGCACGACCGATCGTGTTGTCTGTACAGTTGCTGAATTAATGACGTGAAAGCACTCGCCGTTGTCAGTGCATCTAGCGCGCGTTCTCTCGAAGTTGCTTCGTTGTCGGCGAGCTGTTACTCCCTGTTATTACTCGGACGAAGCGACTTCGCTGAAGGTGTCCCGCTGGCTCAGAGTTATGAGCCCAGTTCCATTAGTTTCGGATCGTCACGACACACGCGCTGCGCAGCCCACGTGCTTTCCGAGCCGGAGAGAGAGTCGTGTCTTCTGCTTTACATTCGAATGTAAACAAGCGAGGAGAATTTGCCTAGTCAATATGGCCGACTTCCGGCTTCATCTCGGCTAAAGTGAGCTAGAAGAGGGTAGTGGGCTTGCTGGGGTCCCCTGCTTGACGCCGGGTATGTCACATGTGTAGTGGCGCCACCAGCGACTTCGATGTAGGGCACTGCCTGACGGAGGCGTTGGTGCGCAACTGAAGTCATGCTTTTTGTGCACTGTTATCACATGCACTGGACGGAAATGCACGCGAATTTCGGCAGTGTAAACGGTGATGCTGATGTCGCTGAGACAATAAAAATAAAGAAAGAAAACTAGCGTGGAGCTAGGTGCGTAGGCCGTTAGCCTACGTGTGCGCGTAGGTAACCCTCTAGAACACTGTAGCGTGGTGTATGCAGCTATGCTGTTAGCTCGTTATCTGATGTTAAATAAAACGCACCGAATACCGTCAGTACTCGTGCGAATAAAGCTGCAGAAAACATTCTTTTCTGAAACTCTGTCGGCGTAACTCGCGCGATTAAACTGCATGCAGAACTCGATGCATGCAAGGGATGCTGCGCAAATATGAGATGCATTTAAATTCTCTTACGAGTGATAAGCAGCGATGGCGAACTTTTCAAAGCTTACGTTGCGCGGCTATCAATTGTAAACTGGATTCTTTGCATTTCTTGGGCCCTACTTTCGTCACGCACGCCTTTTACGAGCGTGTGAAATTATTACCGATGCTGACCTTGGCACACACTCAGGAGTTTACCACGAGCTCTTAATGTTATACATTTCACAGCATTTAAAAATTTGCAGCTACTCATTCTTTCTGCAGATCTCCATTATCTTGGCTCTGTAATTTGGCTATTTCTCCACTGAATATTCCTATGCAAATACTAAAAATTCACAGATCAGAAAAACAGGAAGCCACTATCCCCAAGTACTGGGCACAAGTACATGAAAATTTATTCATCAGATATTGGGAACAGTTGCTTACTGGATATTTCTTCTTCAGGAGCAGCGGCTCAACTTTAGATGCTTTGCCTTTTCCCGCTTCTCTGATCTATCAGAATTAATGTCTTTCACAAAAAAGTGTAACCGTGTAACGATATAAAAGCTGATTACGTCTTTTGAGAGGCCAGGGGCATGTTGTGCGCACCCAACTTCTTGGGAAAACCTTTCTTTCACGATTGCCAATACATCCAAAATGCTGTCCGAATGCAACTTGTGGCAAGAAAAGCACTCCGTAAACATGTTTTCTAGCTTGCTCACAAAACTGTACAGGTGGCTAGATGGATACAACAGTCCACCTTTGTCACGAAAGGTGGTCAGACGAGCGAGCTGAAAATCTTCTCCCTGAGCTGGCATCATGAGTAGGGTTATGCAAACTTCGCAGTTTGTTTTCATGACACACTTTCGCGCAATATAGCCAGCAACATAAAAGATCAGCCTGGAATCACTTCTAGCAATATGCTGGTTGTGGTCAATAGGTGCTGGTACAGAACTAGGCTCATCCACAGTGCTTGCACTGCCAACTGAATCGTCTTGTGGCAGTGTGTCAGTAGCAGCATCGATCTGCAGCAATGACGCTAGCTCGCCCTGGTCACAGTTCCTCTGGCTAACTGTTTTTACGAGACCATAGAATGACAGACAAGTAATGGTTAGCAAAAACTGAGTTGGCGTGGGGTGGTCGTTGCTGCCGGATGACTGACGTATAATACCAAATAAATTTTCTAATGGGTCTTGGCTGATCTTTGATGTCATTACGTATTTAAATCCTACTTTCCCTGTCAAATAAGAAAGCATTTCTAGTACACTGGTTATAGTCACACGCAGTCCAGTCACTGTGGAGTCACTCAGGAAGCATCCTGTGTTGTTTGCATGAGCTTCCCATTCATTTAGGTACACCAGGAAATCCTTCAGCAAATCGACTTCTCTTGATCCTGGGCGAAGAGCTTCAGCTGGGTACCGGGACGTCATTGCACATATCACGCTGTGTATCTTGCTGAAAGTGAAAGTATATTTGATTGTTGTGACAAATGTAATAGCATTAGTAACGGCTTTTACAAAAGTGTTCTAGAAAAATTACACCTTGAACCACGATTAAAATGCGGCCTCACTTGAAAAAGAGCTGTGTCGGAGTTATGCTTCCCCATATGCGTTCCAGCTGTTCTTTATATAAATGGAGTGCTTGAATAACCTTCAGCCCAAAGAGCTGAAAGGCAAACGACACTCACATTTTTTCGAAGCCATTTGGTTGAATGTGGCACATTGTGATTCCTGGCATGGCTTTCAATGTGACGTTGCAGGAGTCAATCTTGTGGGCCTCTTTAACATGTCGTATGGTGACCTGTAGAAATGCAGAAACTTGTGATGAATTGCTATCATATCCATATAGTTGCCTCATATTTTTAAACTACATGTAACAGCCTAATCAGAAGATGCACAGTCTTATTCTCAATGAAGAAAGTGAAACCACTCAGGGTGTTAAAACGCTTAAAATTGTGCATGCAAATATTTTCATGCATGAACAAATAGACAACAAATGTCACTATATGGACAATGGAAAAACTTACATGGCCAGCTGGCGTATTGAATCCCGTCTTCAACAGTGAATTTCTTAGGCACTTGAATAAATGCGGGAAGTCCGACACGAAGAAGAGGTGCCGAGACGCATCAGTTGGGTGTTGGACCTTACACTTCACTGACTTCGCACTTGCTCCAATGCCCAATCTCTTCCACATGTTCCGGTTCCAACAGGCGCCGTCGCAGGTAACAAAGTCGACGAATAGTCCCCTTTTTTCTGCCAGGATTGTTGCCTCAACAACCACTTTCACAAGAATGTCCCCCTTCATATTGCCATTAGTGGCGAAGCACCCAATAATCTGGCTCCATTTACCTTGGAAAGGTACCAAAAGGATTACCAGTCCATGGTCGGAAGGTATGCCTTTGTGCGCTCCTGTAGTGAAGGGTCCTAAATCTACGAAGCCCTCGATTGCCCCAGTCTTCTTCACTGCCAAATGCTTCGACAATTTTAACTCGTCAATCAGCAGGCCACCGTGTCGTTTACAGTGATCAAGGTTACCCGTCTTTTCTTTCAGTTGCCTTAAGACCTTTTCATTAAAGCCAAAACACGTGCGGTAAGAAGTCAGGTAGCGCTTTAACGTGGCCTTGCTGGGGAGAGATAATATGTTGTTCTTTCGAAGATGCTCAGAAAGGCGAGGACTTTTCATCTTCATTATTACACATTCCAATATCCAATTTTTTGTATACCTTTGCCCGCATTTTTTCACCTTGGCGGTAGCGAAACACTGTCTGACAGCGTCTCGTTGTCTTGGTGGAAGACACGTGATGTGTTTTTCGAGGGTTTCTGTTTTAATTGCTGCATTTTTTTCTTGCATTTTGGCGAGGTCTTCCTTGACACATGAAAGACGACGAACAAGACGCCTGTTCTTCTGGGTCACAGTTATCAACTTTCGCTTATGAGAAGAGCAGCTCTTGACATGCTGGCTCTGAACTCGCGACCGTCGCATGAGCATAGCCCTCCTCAAATATTTGCAAGAGACGCACTGTGCCCCTGGAAAACAAGAAAAAATAATTACATTGGTAAGTGTGACAGAAAATAGCATATAGTTCGGAAGAGCGTGCATGTTATGTTAAAAGACGTCACAAGATAGTTACTTTTTTTGGCAACCTTTGTCATACAGCTCCTGCTGAAGTAGGATCCGTGGCGTGAAACAACTTGGCCCTTGAGTTTTTGAGTGAACCACTCATCTTCATAATCCTCTTGTGATATGGCAACACCACATAACATTACAGAGTTTGTTTCTTCAAGGATTGTCTCAGCCTCGGCTTCACTTCGCACTAGCACCTCTTTCAGCAAGGAACCTCTAGCGTACACCTTGCAATAGACGTCAGACGAAGAGGGAACGAACATCATTACTTTTTCTGACTGTACCTCGCTTTTTGCAGTCAGCACGGTTGTGCAGTAGACGACGCCGTCGTTATCCGGGAACTGATGCTTGCTCCAAAACAGGGAAGGAAGTCTCAAGGATCCAAACAAGTTTGTGCTGGCTTGTTTATCGTTTGAGCTTTCTGCATCAGAGTGTAGATCACCCAAGATATCGTCTGGACGCGCTTCCACGAGCTGGGCACACGTCGCAGGCGTTTCCGTCGAGTTTACGGCGCAGCCATCAACAGTCGCGCCAATGGTACGAGAACGTACCTTGTCGCCTTCAACGCTTCCCGATCGCTTTCTCTTTCGGGTCGGTCTTTTTTGTGGTGTCTTTTTCGTCAAATACGACGCCATGTTAGGCAGGATTGTAGGCACAGCGTCCTCTCGTGGGCAAGGTTTCCCACGTGGTGTGCGTACTTCTTTCCCTTCGATTATGTGCACGTAGTCCCGTAGCACATACTTTGGCTCAAAATGAAGTTCACACACGGCAGATGTGTCGTACAGGGCTTTGTCCGCTCGATGCAAATTTCTTTCCCATTGCTTCCTCAGGGCTGCATCCTTCGGAGCGCCGAACAAAGACGGCTTCTTGCTGCCCTTCACGTGGACGTAACCTGTACGACAGCCTGGCGCAAAACAGTGGTTTTGCCACCGCGGAAGCATTTTAACCTCGTTCGAGGGTCACTGCTTGTCAGGCCACATCACTGTTCGCCGAAGAACCTAGGGGATTGAGGATGCAAAGCGCGACGAGTTCTCAAAGTAACAAAACTCGCACACACCGACCGCCACTCCAAACAGGCAGCAACTGCCGCAGCGCCAACGCTCGCTACATTTAATGTGGCGGTGGCGCCGCGCCACGGAGGCGCGCCGAAGCACGTTTGTGTGACATTGGCGGCGTCACCGCAATGCATGGCGCCGGCCGGCGAGTGAGCCCACTACCCTATTCTAGCTCACTTTATCTCGGCTTCACAACGAGTGACGTTAGGGCCTCTCCTTACCTTTTTCTTCCTCCGTGTAATATACCGTCAATGCCTCCTAGATTTCCCGTGCCTGCCGGATTATCGGTGGTCACTTGGGAAGCGGCGGTCGTCGGAACTACGATGGTGGCGTCACTCAAGTAGAGATGTTTTCAAGTGGGTTTTTACATTTTTGGAGCTTATATGCAACAAAAATAACGTTAAAAAGTTTTTAAAAGGCGTAAACGTAATTATATTCAACCCTACGTAAGTGACACTGTCAATCAGCAAGCAAGTTTTTTATTACAAGGCATCCTCTGAAACTCGTAACAAACGCTAAAATTGCCAATCTCAAAGGCCGAATACAAAACCCTTATCTTTACGTAGGCAGTGCCGCCAAGAATGACCGGCGTTTCGCGCTCATCCGGCAGGCACAAGAAATCTAGGAGGCGTTGATACAGTACACTGTAACTAGAGGAAACTCTGGCGCTAGTGTCTATGGGAGTTGCAATGGACGGCTACAGTGTACTAGAAGGGGGCAGTAGAATGACCGAGGCGGCTGCGCCGCATCTTGGCTGATTCTCCGGCGGGTGACAGTAGCGGCGGCGCTGTAGTTCCATGGTACTGAACATGGAGAAAGGAAAAGATTTTCCTTCCTAGCTTTTTTCCCTCCCGCCTAGCTTCTCACACAAGCAGCGCTTTGAGCTGCGCTACATCATAATGGATACTGGTGAACTACAAATCGAAGAAAAGTATCAAAATGGCTATTAAACTATACGCTTGTTCTGTCGGCAGCCTCTACGATATCCAGAGCACAGTGTTCCTCATATGAGCCAACATGCGCTCGATTGTTTCACGAGAAACTCGAGTATAAGTAACGTGGTCACAATATTCATATCGGTGACGACAAAGTTTTATCATGCCAATTTTGCGGAAGATAAGAATTATTGCCTTCTGAAAGGCTTATTACATATCAAACACAATAAAAACAACACGCAAACATATTAAAAGTGCCAATTGTATATATAGCCCGTTTGTTAATCTGCGTAAATTCATTGTAACCATGCAGTTCTCATTTTGTATCAACAGCTTAAATTGTGCTGCTTTGCAAATATTCTATTGGCGTAACGCCATTGTAAGCCAGCAAATTTATGAGAATGTTTTGTATTATAAGTTTAGTTCCACGATTAAGTGTGAAAAGTGTAGGCTGGCATATACACAGTAAACACACACACACAAAACCATTATATATATATATATATATATATATATATATATATATATATATATATATATATATATATATATATATATATATATATATATATATATATATATATATCCCAAGTACACGCATTTAAGTCACACATCCCTGCCCCATTAACAATATTCATGCAGTGCGCCATAGCACAGCTACTATTTTTAGGCGGTGCATTTTTCGTCCGACTATGTTAGACTTGAACTAGTTTTAAGACGTCATACTGTTGAAAAGGTCAAATTTACAGGGCGCATTTCTGCAGAGACACGCTATATTCATCTTTGCCAACTTTAAACGTTCGGTGCAAGGCTACCCAGTTTTTTTTTTAGGGGAAGGATGCAGCACAACGACTAACTTTGGCGATTGGTGTTCGCTGTGAATGCGCATAAATATTTTAGTATATCCTGAAGAGTTATATTACGAAAAGATATCGTGGTGTATGGGTTCCTATTTCCTTCATCTTCCCTCTCTACTTACGGCCTCCTCGTTCTGCATGCGTTTGAAACGCTATTTTTTTTAATCTCACAGCTTTCTGAGTACAACTAACTTCCAATAAATCGGCTGAGTTATTATGAATATAGTAGATGCCTAACCAACGAAAAAAGAGTCAAGACAAAAAATCAGTGTTAGACACGTTTTTTTCTGAATTATTCTCGAGCTCTCACAACGAATTTTATGGAGCTTGAATTCAGTAGATTGGTGTGCCATATTTCAAGGGCTATGACATCATGTGCTAGACATAAATGATGGGCTGGTATGGAGAAATCTGCATCAAGAAAGCACGACGGAGGAGCCGAAGCGCATAGCAGTTCCTGCACGCGGCGCATGGCTCTTTTAGTACCATTCGACCGCAGCGCCGCCGCTACTGGTAACACGGAAGGAATCAGGCGGCGAGGCGTGGTCACGCCACTCAACACTTCTAGTACACTCTAGCCACATCGTGACTCTAGCGCAGAACACTACACTACCATTAGAGAAGGGCAACTGTACCTTTGACATTGCAACAAAAATAAGGGTAGCGGCGGGATTGTGAACTAACTTATTCAAACTAGCGACGACACTGGTAGGCCTATCATCATCATTGCGCTGAAGCAATATAACGGCCGGTTTGGTAGCGGGTGCGGAGGGTCACTGTGCGCCGCACCCGCAGGTTTATGGGCGTTTATTCGCTGATATTGCGGGGTGGTATTCGCGCACATGACATCCTAAAGTTACTATATATTTCTGCTATACCGCCAGGTGACCTAGAGGCCTCAACTGGCAAAAAACACGCCAAGCAAGTAAGCTTACATTGTTTATTGACAATCGTGAATGCAGCAGTATACATGTAAACAAGCAACACTGTCTCTCAAAGAGTTGAACAATACATGAAAAAAAAAACAGTGATAGACATCTGTTCAATAAAATTACCTGCTGAAATTGTGCAACTTTGTCTCTTGGCTCGTTCGGTCAGACAACGATATTTACACTGAACACCCCTTGCACTGTACTATAGGTACTGTGCTACCCATTGGCTTTCTCACCACACATGCTCTCAAAAAGTGTAGTGTCAGTACGATTAGCCTGAGCCGCAATATGATATTTGACAACGCATTGGTGAGAAGCACATCGCGTTGAATAAAAAGAAATGACCCCGCGCTGTTGTGCTAGGTATCCCTGCACATAACATTGTTCTCGATATTGTGTTTA